TAAATCATAATTGTCTATCAAAATATGGAATGCACTTTAGATTCTAAAATAAGGGAAAATACTGCACAAATATTACATAATATTTAACAGCAATCAATATGCATTTTCCAGAGTTTAATTATTCTTTTGATAAATTACGTAAGTTGAAAGAAAGTTATGACATATATCAATTAAACAATCAAAGAAAATAAAATTATTTCAAAGGAAGTCTTGTACATTGTGCGTTCAAAAATTATCCATGTAAATAATATTTTGTCAAATGATTCATTTAATATGAATTATATAGCACTGCAAATAATCATACTGAACATGAGAGCGAGGTTAAATTCATCTCCGTTCACTTCTTTGAAGGTTGGTAAAAGTGCAAACGCGTATTATGTAAGCGTATCTTTTATGTTAATACAATCAATTATTGTAAAAAAAAATTAATGTATGGCGCTAGAAACTAACCGTGTATCCTTTATTTCCCATTAAGATAAACTCTTGATGGTGCAACTTAATAAAATTGCTTTTAAAAGTTACATATTTCAACTTTGGTATAACATGTATGAATCCTATAATCATACCAAATCTTATTTGTATATAAAGCTTTTGAAGGCCACACAGTGCCCTACAGCTGTTTGTATTTTCGTCCTTTTGGTCTCTGGTGATTAGTTGTATCATTGCCCATCATACAACAACATCTTCTGCAAAACGCAACACGAACCCCACAAATAACCGGTGTGATCTCAGGTTCTAACAGAAGGGTAAGCAGACCCTGTTTCACACGTGGCACCCGTCGTGTTGCTCATAAAAGTTCAAATTCGGTACTAGGTCTTATTTGGTGATATCACATTCGAGGAAAAAAGAACGGAATTGTGGTTACGTCAATTGGTACATATATTTCGTCATCTGAACATAATGAACAGCAGCAATCAATTTATCAGTTAAGAAGAAATGTCAGTGGCATGTAGAACATTTGTATTCGTTCTAATTTTCTAGAAGTATTTTTGTATAACATGGAAAAAATATTTCTGCATAGTGATTATGTTTCCCTTTAGTGATTAATTAGAAATATGCAACAAACATGTTTATTGTGCATGATTTTTAATTAATTATATAGTAAGCAAGTAGTGAAAAACTTAAATGATATAATTTTTTCTTATTTTAATCTTCTTTTCAATATCTTTTATGTTGTATTTGTTAGTGTAATGATGTATGCGGAAGCGTATTTATAGGGACATTGTAAAAATAAAATCATCATTGAATTTTTTTTCATCAAAGTCAAAATTTTGATTTTAATTCAAAATTTCTCTTTTCAAATCTCAAAAGTTTGACTTACGAAAAGGGACTTCAATGATTATTTTTACTATGTCTCTAAAACGCTTCCGTAGATACATTTAAGATTTAATTTGTTAGATTAGATATGAATCAGCTATGTACACCTGTTGACCTTCAGAACCATTGTGGTGAAACCCTAAAGATATTCATATTCAGCTACCGGCTTATTCCAGTTGATTTTTTTTTGACTAAATTGCGACCCCTAATCTTACACAATATCGTAACTCTATAATCTATTGAAAATATACCAAAGAAGACAAAATAACTCAGGAAATCGTTTGAACTCCAAACGGAGCGAGAACAGATGCGTTGACATGCATGGTAAGCGTCTCTTGCTACGCGTGCATAATCTCGCCATGCGAAACCATACTAAGTCAATATTGACGCTGTTGAATCGGTAAAATTTCATGTTCTGTGCATTAAGATCTAAGACCGCAAAACATGTCTCTCATTTATTAAGCCATAAACACACTATAGCGGTCAAAGAAATTCGTAGTCTGAAGTAGTGTCAATTTTAGTTGTTTATCTACATACCTGTAAGCAGAGGAGCTTTTGTGTTAAAAGCCTAACGTTTTTTATGGTGTCATAAGGGAGTTTTATCATTTGATTTTTAAGGGGGGGGGGGGGGGCTACGATGAAATTTGAAAAAAGGCAGGATAGGAGTTTTGAGTAAAACAAAAAGCCAGGATGAGCAACTTTGCAAAAAAAGGCAGGATGACAATTTATGTAAAAAAAAGTCAGGATAAACTAATAAAAAAAGGCAGGACCGATTAGAGTGAAAAATAAAAAGGCAGGACAGAGATTACAACTAAAAAAAAAATGCTGGACAAAATTCCCCCCCCCCCCCCCCCCATAAAAATCAAATGGTAGCTCCCCTATGAAAAAAAACATGCACGCTCGTTTCAGATTGATTAAGACATGTTCACGCAATACATGTACGCTGAGACAGAGGGTATGACACTAATGAGAAATGTGAAGCTGACAATGGGAATACTGGAATTTAAAAAAATACCTACTGAATAAAATGGATTCTTCAATTTGATTGTATGCTCCATTTTTAAAATTTTAGGTTAATGTAAAGAAATATATACCATTTTCACTTGCCAAACCAAATACTGTTTTTATAATGCAAGACATTCTTTAAAAAATTTCATGAACATATGATTAACAACTTAATTCTAAATGTTTCTTCGATGAATCCAAATCAATAGGCCCATAATACTCGAATCAACAGAATCTTCTCTAATATCAAAACCATCAAACTGTACCCCTTTGATACGTTGCGAGAATGCTTTGTTAGCAATCAAACAAGGATATATCAACAAGGTTAAAATTTAAAAATTGTATCTGTACAAATAATTTGATTTGATTTGGTTTAACCTGACAGATAGAGTTAAGACCATTCAAAGAAAGTTGATAGTTCAGATGAATAAAAGAAGATATTTTGATAAATGCTTGCGTATGAAAGCGCATTTTTACTTTCATCTTTGTTTCTTAAAGATGCACAAAAATCTTGAAGCGTTGCATAATGTAACCGTATCAAACATGACTCACATAGTAGTCACATGTAGGTGTAACCAGTACAAACTAATGCGGTTAAATTAATATTTGAGCTGCGTCGGACAGAAATTGACCTTATGCAGGTTAACCTTTTTCGGGTTGAAAAAATCTCTACGGAAAGTCTGTCACTGTTTGAAAATTTAGTTGTTTGAAGAACCCGACAAAAATCCAGAGTGTATTCTTCTAGATAAAAAAAATCATAATATTTGATAATATGCGTTTATACAAAGATAAGGAGCTATCAAACAGGCAATCAAAGACCATAAGTCAAAGATAAAAGACAACGCCATGGCCAAAAAGAAAACATTCAAACGGCAATCAGCATTACATACGGAAGCGTATTAGCGCCACACAATTTTTTTTTTATATTTCTTCCTACGTTTGCGTTATAACGCAAACCTTTGCGATATAGCGTTATAACGCAAACATTTGCGATATAACGCAAACCTTTGCGAAATAACGCAAACTTTTGCGTTATAGCGCAAACATTTGCGAAATAACGCAAACCTTTTTCGTTATAACGCAAACATTTGTTTTATCTTATTTCTTATTTATGATTCAAAGGAAGCAGCAGTTATTTATGGAGGAGGCTGCATATATTAAAATTAATCTTCTTTGTACTCATTGCAAAGTAAAATGCTTTACTATTTAACTAATAAAGAGCAGGATGATAGATATAAGAAGATGTGGTATGAGTGCCGATGAGAAAACTCTCCATCTAAGTCATAATTGGTAAAAGTAAACCATTATAGGTCAAAGTACGGTCTTCAACACGGAGCATTGGCTCACACCGAACATCAAGCTATAAAGTGCCCCCAAAATGATATACATGATAATACATGTACATATATAACAATGAAAATTGAGTAAATTAAAGATATACCAAAGAAAAAAAAAACAACCCTGCTAATATAGCTATAGCCGAATATAAATATTCTTCCAAAGTAAGCTCTCGTTTGAGGATTGTGTAAGGTTGGTTAACTACCCTTTTGCAATAAATGAATAAAATGAAGATGTTTTATTAATAAGATTATGTTCTCTCCATTTAAATTGCTACCAAGTTACAACACTAGATTGAAAATTTCATGACTTTTTATCAAAGAATCTTTATCATATTCTGAGATTTAAAAAAACGATTTCTTACATCAAAACTTTAAAAAAAAAAGTCTTTCTTAATAATTCATTTTACAGCAGAAAGATCATTTTGTCTATTTGACCTTACAGTTTTACAATTGTATGACATTATTTTTGCTCTTATCTACTTAATCAAAATTTTATTTTGTCTCTGGGGAGAGTTGTCTCATTGGTAACCATACCACATCTTCTTATTTTTATATATACTGTTGGCACTCGTATTGTTTAAAACCGTGTTATTCATCTTTTGCATGAGATATCGACCATACGTTGCACAGTGTTGCAAATGAACTAATCCCATATCATATTTCAAAATACTTAGTATTGTTTTCTTATCATCCTATTTAAAGTCTGGTTGGATTGAGAGATAAAACTACCATGTATTTCAAAATGAAGATGGGCTTAGCTCTTTATATTTTAAATCATCGCTGACTACTTCCAAAATTTGAATAATTTATTTACTGTACGTATAGGAAGGATAAATCAATTTCACACCACGCATTTCTCGAACATAGAACGAAAAACACTACATTGATGATCCAAATAAAACGTTGAAATATACTTCATGATGTTTGGCTTATCCATTCCCCCTTTTCGATTAATGTTTTTTTTGTTACGTCCTCAATTTGGTCTATTTTGTTTGTTAAATGAAATGGAATATTGTGACTTAAATTTTTTTATAGGATGTTTATATTTTAATATTGTTCAAAAATTGAAATGAATCATAAATTGGAAACACAGGACAATACTAAAAGATACTCTAGTAAAACTATACCGCAGGATAAAGTACTTATCTAAAAAGGGGGGGGTCTCATCTAAATCCAATAACCTCCACACTGATTAGTTATCCTTCTATGTCGTTTTTGTCTACTAGTATAATCAAATATTTAATATTGAGTTACTTGCAGATCTTTGTAGTGTCTGATACTTCAAACACATCTTTAATAGACTCTTGATTTTGAGATTGACATTAGTATACACGTCTATATTGTTTAACACTTTATTTTGAGAAGTCTTTTTTGTGTGGTTAGGTTTCTGTCTCTTTGTCTTTTCTGTCATATAACGTGTGTGAATTGTTCTTTTAACTACGTTATACATCGAAGTAACACAAGAAGTCCAAATTATTTTCCATCAGAAAATAGAATTACCCTTACAATATCTGGTATATACATGCTTAATAAGTTATCTAGGAACTCTGTATATCCATCTTATCAGTAGTATAGATCACTTGGTTACTTCTGAAAATATATAACATAAATAGATAAATACAAATACAAATACAAAAAAAAGTTTATATCCAACTTTAATAAAATCCCTGAAATGAAATTGGACTGATTATAAACATAAAAAAATTCAAGATAATTTCACAATATTAAACCCTGAAATCACTATTTTCTGTTTTCAGATTTTGCTCACGTGAATTTCACATGAATCTCACATGAAATTCACGTGAGATTCACCTCAAACGAGCTTATACATGAAATTCACGTGAGATTCACCTCAAACGAGCTTATACATGAAACTCACGTGCAAATGTTCATGTGAATTTCGCGTGAATTGAGATTCACATGAATCTCACGTGAAATTAATCACGTTAATTTTTCAACATTTTAATTAAATTTGAAAATTTAGATGTTATCTGAATTACTTTGTTTTAAAAATTCACCTGAAAAAATTCATGTGATTTTCACGTAAAATTTACGCGAGTTTCACATGAAATTCACGTGAGTTTCACGTATAAGCTCGTTTGAGGTGAAATTCACGTGAGATTTACATGAATTTAAATTCACGTGAAATTGATGTGAGTAAAATTTCCCTGTGTACCTTCTTATTTAATATTCGTCATTATAAGACTATAGTTTGTATCAATCACAGTCTTGTTCTTCCTATTAGACTGATTGGCTATGACTACACCCATGGTATCTTTTGAATAGGATCATTGTCAGACATACTGTCAGACATACTGCAAATTCGCAGAATATTTGATTCACAAAACATCATAACACTAAAAGCATGAAAAGAATTCTAATAGTGCCATATTCCGGGCGACTTTTTGCTTTACACTTTCCATTAGATATAACTTTGAAATAGTATGTTTCGTGATTCCTGCACCACTTAAAATGCATATTCTGTAGATTGAAGATTTTGGTTTTACTCTGTCGGGTGTTCATAAGATTCCAATTCTTTCGAGTCAAACCTTGTTTATTTGTTACATTTTGTATTTCAACTAACATTATTATACTACTTTAAAATCTAAACTGTAATATCCGCAAAGAAAAAAGAAAAAACGAAATCTTTTTTTATTGGCAAATTCATTGTAAACGAAATTAAAAGTTCATGCCTTGGGACAGGGATATGAACATGCCAAAGGTCTAACTGGTTTTTTTTTAATTTCAATCCCTCCATTTCATTCTCGAACAGTGGAGTTAAAGGGGCATTAGCGGTCAAATTCATGTTCACCGATTTGACTCAAATTCTCACATTTGATTTATAATATACTAAAACGCATATTCAAATTACAATAAGTCTGAGATAAACAATTAACAATGCATAGAATCGGTAATATTTTTCAACATTGCGTGTGTATTTTAGTCTAGACGCCATCTAATTAACCATCGAGATGACCTTCGAAGACTGCCGACGGTCACATAACCCGATATAAACATAAACATAGATATAAATAGATATCGACCTCGTGCAATTGGACTTTTCTAGGTCTGTTTAATTTCATGTTATAGGTTGAAAAAATAAGTTAATCATCATTTGTACCTATATAAGAATGATTTTTGTTGGATCGAATCAGTCAACGAAATGGCTCACCTTTGTTTCACTTTCAATGTTGACATTCTTTTCCTTTTAATGGCTGAATACGACTAATACATGCGTTACCAATCTCTGACTAGTTAATGGGTTAAATTGAAGGTCACATGAATACGGATTCAATGAGGTCAAATTATTCACTTGCAATTGAATAATTCATCGGCGATGTTTCTTAGCTTATTTTGACAACATGAAACTAAACTGGCTGCTTAAAACGAATTATTATTTCACTATTTCACTACTTCACTTTCATTAATGATTGAAAAAAAAAAACATATTTTGATTTTTTGCGTGAACCCCCTGAGTGGTTCACGCTTATATATTGGCGAGTTTTGGAAGTGTCTATGGGCCACTCGATATCCTCGGAATTACGATTCTCGGAACGTCTCGAAAATTTTCCATCATTTATATAGGTAGTTATTTATGTCTTTGATACGGTCCCTCTATGGATATGCTATAACGTGACATTGCATGTTTCAACAATCCGACAAACGGTTCATTTGTAGATTTGAAAGTAAAACAAATTAGACTAGATTGCATTATAAAAATCATTTATATGTTAGAACCTATTTGCCTTTTGACAAAACATATATGTTTCTAATAATGTGAATGTTTATTAAATATCAAGTATAATGATAACGCAATTATATAATTCATGCTTTGAGACGGTCCCTCTACGCGTTGTGTGTGTTGTATTTAATAAACCTAGGAATAGTTTATTGATATACAATGACCCAGAATAAACTGATTATTTCTAAACTTTATCATTTGGTATTTAGTATTTCAACCATAACATGAGAAAATGTCGGAAAGAATGAAGAAAATTAAGAAAACGATATTTCTGTTAAATATAGATTCTTACATTGATACCAGCTAGTGGATTATCGGATTTATCCAATCGAGATAGTTAAATTATCAATTTTAAAGTCTGTGCCTTGGCGAGGACTTTAAAATTTATAATTTAACTATCGAGATTGGATTATTCCGATAATTCACGAGTAACTATGTAAGAATCTGTTTCTCTAATGATTAAAAAATACATTTTCATTTTTTGTTAAACCAAAACCCCCTTCGAGTGCCTTCCACATTTCACAAAGTTGTCAATTTCATTAACACCTGTTAGCATATTTTGAGCTGATAAAGGTTATGACCCTTAAATTCATCCAATCATCTTCTGAGATCACCGGCAACCACACGTTGATTAAATTTTTTTATACAATGAGTGCAGAAAGGTATAAATTGTCAAAGAATTAGAGAAAAATATTTATCTAATATTGAAACACAGTGGTCGGAAAGCATAAAAATAATCAAACAAAAGGATTTTATTGTAAAAAAAATATCTAATTTCATTAATAGATACTACCAGACTAACAGAATATTCATTGTTAAGGTAAAACTGAGACTGAATTTATTCCTAATAATTATAGAATATAATTAAAATTAGATGTATACATGTATTATGATGTCTCACAGGTTTGATCAGTCATTACATTTATGAAAATTATATGTAACGTATGAACACCAATAAGCAGGGATGCGTACCCAAATTTAACTAATTTACAATATCTAAATTTTAAACGGTCGTGAATGAAAAAGTACTTGCGTGGTTTCAATTCACAAGGATTTTAAATCCTTGCATCTCACAAAAAACGTAATTAATATTTTACTATAATCATAGCAAAATTTAATTACTATCATAATGTTAATTAATTTTTTTAATTTTTTTTTTCTTTTATTAGTTCAACCTTACAGCATCTAAATATTTGTACTATGGTACGGTTTTGAAAATTGTATGCATTGTGTTGGTCAGCTATCCTACACGTCTTGATTCATTCACATTATACATCACCCTGTTCACACGCACACTATCGGTTTGCGTTCACAAAAATTCCGGATAAAATGTCAATGAATCCGGAGTCAAAACACTTGAGGTAGACAGTTGAACATCCGAATTCAACTATTAGATTAATATATGTGATGACGCAAATGCGTATTCTTATCCAGAGTATCAGTGCGTATGCTTTCTATTTACTATTTCTTGCGCAAAGGTACCACGTTCATGCATAAATATTAATTTCACTCGCGAATGCGAATTTTCGCTTTTCTTATCTAAATTCAGGACACGGCAATAAGAGCTTGTCATGTGACTTTCAAGCACGGTCATCATTGCTTACGGTATTCTGACCTCTAGCTGTTTCTCTTTTGTTGTTTTTTTTTGAGTCACTGTCCTTTTATAAACTTTGACATTTTCAAAATGCCTAGGATTTTCTACCCAAGGAATAGATTACTTAACTTCGTACTTTATTTGGCCTTTTTTACTATTTTTATCCGAGCGTCACTGATGATTCTTTGTAGACTTAACTCGCGTCTGGCGTACAACATGTTAATCCTGGTATTTTTTTTATATCTACATGTCTTTTTATATAAATTGATTCTTTTGAGAGTATGTTCAGGTATTCATAAAACTTCTGAAAATAAGATATTCTTCAAAACCAAGTTTCCCTGTAAAATATTTGGATTGATTTGAGTAAAATCAGGAAATCCTTAAAATTTGAGATATTTTATGAGACCAAAATAAGTCTTTATATAAGAGGTCCAAATGAAGCTGGTGTGTTACTCTCAAGAAAAATATACGAAACCTTCTTATAAGTTGCATGCCACAGGGTTTCACTTCCCATGGAAAATGGACTTTACATTTATCTGTACAACATCTTCCATGAGTACAGACAACTTCAATAACGAGTTGAGAATATGAAGGCATCTATGCAGGAAACAAAATATAAAGATGTCATAGATAAAATAAATGCATCCAGATTATAAAGCAAACTGAGTGCTTAAATTTATATTGCGATTGGTTTGTGCAATTTGAATTATACATCCGGTTTGTAAAAACTGGGATTTGCAATAGGATTATAAAAAAAATGATATACAATCCCAAGTAATAAATGAAATAGTCGAGCTTTCAAGTAAAATGTATATTCAAATAGTAGCTGTATATACACTTTTCTATTCACACCTATCCAACATTGCTTTCAACTGACTTGTGCAAGAATGTACACACTATTACATATTTTTGATAAAGGTAGTTTAACTTCACCATTAGCCCTTCTATTCACAGTCAATTATTTCAATTCAAAAGCAAAAAAAAATTCAGCAACAGTCTTTTGGTGACCAGTTACGGTAGCGGTCTTAGGTTCACGTATTGCTTTTCTTTTTTTTAAAGAAAGCAACTTGTTTATATCTCGTAGCTAATGCCCCTTTAATGTCAGCTGTTTACATAAATACGTCTATACCCGCTCTAAGAACAGGGGACAAACTCTTTCGGACTTTATATAAAACACATTTGTTATAGTCTAATAAAAACAAATAGAGTCACAAAAAAAATACGAAACAAAACATTCAAAATTATATTAATATCATATTCTACCACAGAACATATTTCTCCGACTACAATCGTGATTTATTGTGTTATTTGGTCTCTCGTTGTATACTTCTTATTTGTTAATAGTAAAAATAGTTAATATTCTATCAATAAAAATAGGGATAAAATCTGTGGTATGATTGCAATTGAGAGAACTATCATGCACAAAAATCCACAAACCTTAGAAATATATTTCTAAGGTGAAATATTCTTGCTTTTTTATCATTAATATTGAAGCTGTGTATTTGCACTTCAGGATAAAGTCATGTTTTTTTTATTGCTAGAAATTATGATTATTTTCCCGTATCGACATCATGTGTCTTCACTTTGTCACATCAACAAGTTTGACAATGGTTAACCCTGCAACATTCTCTTAGTGCCTATCCTAAGTCTGGAGCCTGTAATGCAGTTATTGTCGTTTGTTCATGTCAGTCATATTTGTTTTTCGTAAATTATTTCGTCATGAATTAGGCCTAAAGGTTTCTCGTTTGAATTGTTTCTCATTTTAATGTTTGGTACTTTTAAAGACGACTATATGGTTTGGGTTTTGCTCATTGTTGAAGGCCCTACGATGACCTATAATTGATTACATTCACATCATTTGAAGTCTGGTAGATAGCTGTCTCATTGGCAGTCATACCATATTTCCTTATTGTTTACGAGATAATATGAAACAATCGTGTTACTGTAGAGATAATTGAAAAACAAGGTCACTGCTACCCAAAAACATACCATATCTGTTATCTGTTATGAAGAAATTTTCACCTCCACCTCCACTAAATCTGCTTCCAATACCCCCTCCAAATGCTACAGCTGATTCTTTTGGTCCAAAACTTCCAACAATTCCGACTGGTCCAAAACGTCCAATATTTCCGACTGGTCCATGCAGCGAATTTGAATCTCCTGTTAATTGACGACCTCCCCTGCCGATACCTATATTATCAATACCTCCTCTGCGATCAATTCCAAATGAGCTTATGTCAGCACCAAGGCCAATGTTATGGACTCCTACCCTATCTCCCTTACCCCGGAACTCTAAAGATCCTCCAAACGACTTAGATTTCCTTCCAATATCGAACTCATTAAATGATTTCAATGATTTAGATTTCTTTCCAAGACCAAACTTCTTCGATCCTTTAGAGGGTATATATTGTTTCATTAGCCCAGCATATGCAAATTTACCTTTAGGAATATAGACATATGTCTTTCCTTTTAAACCCTTATTAAATGCAGCATAACTTGGAACTTTCTTCGACAAATATTTATTCCTTTGAAGTCCGTATCCATTACGCGTGTGACTGCCATGTTTCACCAGAACCCTTGGCGCATAGGGAGTATCCAGTATTTTCCCATAATTCCTTGTTTTCTGACTATACCCGGATGCACGTTTAGGAGCTAATTGGTAACCAATGCTTCCTTTTGGATGGTAAGCTTGGATTCTTATCTTGGATGGTGCATATGACTTCAATACTTTCCTCCGTGGATAAGAAGCTGAAACGATTAACAAGGTTATTTTTCAAAAAAAGGTGTTATTGAAATTCCAATTATTTAAAGTACCTTTAGTGCTAAGAAGACGACTTAGAAAGAAGTCTAACCCATTTTCCCAGTAGTTCTTTAACTTCCAGTATCAATATCACAAAGTCGCTTAAGGTAGATGGGGGTCTTAATTTAAATCCATAGAATTTTTTGATAATTTGTCAAAATGAAGTTTATATCATGCATTTTTCAAAAATAAAATAAAAAGTATGGGTCACCGTGCTCTTTTTCACGCTACGGGTTGCGCAAAATTGTCAGATTTTGTATAGATTATGCATGCAAAACCCAAATTTGGGTGATAAAAAGAAAACTATACCATAGAATTTTAAGATAGAACATCAGAATATAGCTCTAATAATATGCTTTCAGATAAGAAAAAGAAATAATGGGGTCACGGGACTTGTTTTCTTGCTACATAATAAAATAGGTTAATTCACAACACATTCTATTACAAAAGTTACTTAATCGAGTTATCTCCCCTTGTATCTGAGTTATCTACCCTTATATGGCAAAATTTAAGAAAAATGAATAAAACAAAAATCATCTGATTTTTGTAAAATACAGCCGTAAATATGATAAAACACATAATTTTCTATATTAAAATGAAAAACCTTACACATGAATTACATACTACTCTCGAAATTTGCACATTTCATTAAAGATCTGGACCGATTGTTATCTGCTTTTTCAAAATCCAAGATGGAGGAAGGCACCCTATCTACCTTAACCTATTGGAATCGGAATTTTTATACAGTTCTGAATAATGTTCAAAAAAAATTCAACACTTTACGTAAACAATATACATACGTAACGTTTTGTTATTTATCATGTATAACATCAGCATTGTATTCCGCGCAATAAACTGCTGTTGAAGACAATTTTGATACAGTATATAAATTTTATTATTTTGCAAAACTGAGTGGGTTAGGACATTTTTAGCCAGATTTTTTTCTGAAAAAACAATGGGTTCCATATATATATATATACAAGTCTAAATTGAAAACAACGTTCAAACCTATGATTGCGTTGGATAAAAACAGCAATTTTTATACGTGTTCATGTAACAAATTTCGTTGTAGAGGGGTCTAAATACAGCACAAACAACATTTTCCAAAAGACCAAAAGAGTGAAAAAATATATTTTAACAATACGCATTTGACTAACAGGTCGAACAACTGATGTTCCTAATATATATAAATATATATATATATGTAGAGTCACCGGGTTGTTTTCGAAACAAGATGGTGACTTCTGAAGCCATATCAGAATTCATATTTTAAGATCTTTACTCCAAAAAAATATTCTAAATATGAAACTTTAAGTCAAGGCGGAAAATACGTCATCTGCTCTCTTAAATGTATGTATGCAATACCGTTATAAACTTCGAGACAGTAAGATCTTTACTGAGAAGGGACAGTATCACCATTTGGGTTTACATGTATATGATGTATGTGTATACAAAGCCACGTACAGTGCACTAACAGCAGTGCGTTCAATCTGATAGCTCTTGTTAACAGTGTGACATGAAGTTGACCTTTTCCAAAGTAAAATCTCTGTCCCTATCCAATATACCCTTTCCATTCAGAGGCAGTCCAACCTTTGAGTCCCGTTTTGCGGCACTTTACAGAACAAATAAAAAAACTTGGAAGTCCAACTAATTATTCATTTTTGTTCGAAGACAAATCTTATTTGCCTGCTTTTTAACGCAGCTATACTTTTTCAAATTAAATGCTCGATTCTGATTGACGGAATTTTCTATTCAAATACCAGCTATTTGAAATTGTTATTTATAATTTATCGTCAAAAATTAAATAAGAATCTAATTTAAGTACGACCCTTTCAATAGATATTTATGAAATAGAAACAGGTAACATGAATAGACTTATTACAGCATTTGAATTATATGAAAATAATACAAATTATTTACCTTTATGTGCTTCGCTGCAAGTCAGGCAAAACAAAACCACTATGGGCAACACCAGTCGAAAATATAACACCATGGCGATTTCCTAAAAAGAATAACAACATTAGTTACGATTGTTTATTACATCTTGTAATAAAGTTTCACTGACATTTGACCAACATTTGTGCCATTAAATAAACGATTTAAAAGAAATCTTCTACCTAGTAGTCAGTATCTCATTATTTGATGGTATACACTGATTTTTTTTAAATAACCATTTTTGTTTTATCTGAACCAAAATTCGACGATTGCTTTCAGGAAAGATTGGTGCGGAACAGAAATCGTGTTTTGATTGTATACATGTCAGATGTATGTGTCTTGCCAAACGGTTGTACTGGAGCCTACTGATTGGTTTACATGTCGGAAGTATGTGTCTTGTCAAACGGTTGTACTTGAGCCTACTGATTGGTTTACATGTCAGAAGTATGTGTCTTGCCAAACGATAGTACTGGAGCCTACTGATTGGTTTACATGTCAAAAGTATGTGTCTTGCCAAACGAAAGTACTGGAACCTACCTGAAGAAATTTGAAAATGAAGTGTCTACATCAATGCAACAACTAATGTTTGAGTGGGATAATAGAAAAGACGGGATATGATTGGCAATTCATACACGAAATAGAACAAAACCAAAAGTAAAGGAACGGTGCTTTTATAGTCTTTCTTCGTCTCAAAAAGTCACACTCGATCCCTTAAATATAAACACACCTCATTGAAATTTAGGACAGACACTAGAAAGGGTTTGAGCGGAATTCTTTGCAGAATGCTGATCGCTCTGCATTTGTGCATTGAAGATACCAGCTGCAGCGAATATCAACCAATAATAAAGCAATGATTATGATTTTGTCATTTGATAAAGGACTATAAATAAGAAGATGTGGTATGAGTGCCAATGAGACAACTCTCCATCCAAGTCACAATGTATAAAAAGTTAACAATTATAGGTCAAATTACGGTCTTCAACACGGAGTCTTGGCTTACACCGAACAGCAAGCTATAAAGGGCCCCAAAATGACTAGTGTAAAACAATTCAAACAGGAAAAACAACGGTCTAATCTATATAAAAAACGAGAAACGAGAAACACCTAAAAACCACACCAACAAACGACAACCACTGAACAACAGGCTTCTGACTTAGGACAGATGCATGAACAGAGATGTGTTAGACAACATCATGCGTCTCCTTGCTTTATAAGGAGTAGCTACATTGCCTCTCGAAATCGTTGACCCTTATTTTTAACAAGACTAGAGGACCAGGGAGGAAGGTAGTTTGAGCAAAATTGCAGCCGATTTGGAACTTACACAGTAATAGACCAGACGAAAATGTCTACGTCTAGTACAGCTTACAAGGAGGCTGAGAGGCAGGTGCTTACAATTAAATTCTGCCTGTAACCAAGAACTTATTAGAACATTCAAAACCAAAAACATTTAAACAGTGCACAACTACAAACTTCCTCGACAGCCAAGTATGCAATAATTCTAAAAAAGTACACGTGGTAAGAGGAAATATCCAGCTGTTCAATCATTTTATTCTTTGTTAAGACTCTTTTGTTGTCTTTGACCACCTTGAAGAAGGAGTGAACAGTATTATAATCAAACCTCAGTGGGCTGTCTCATTATCAAGATTACGTGCTCTTTCTCATCGTTCCTTGTAATAAGTAGTAGATTTCAGCGACAAATTCATACAGATGCAGCTATAATAGACCATTTTCACGGTACTACAATCTGTCGATACCTATATTCTGGTATTGCCCAAGGTCATGTTTTTCTCTGACTGCTACTTACGTCTTTACACTAAATCCATTGGATGCTGGATGTGTACTGATTGATATTTTAGTCTTAGATACATGATTTCTTTTATTACTTGTTATTGGCTTTGAACTAGCTGCCAGTAACTGGGAGTACTCTCAGATCTGTACTTTGTGTCTTTTTGCTGTTAGGGATTAAAAAATACCCTGCCACGTCCGGTCTGTGTTTTTGTTAAATGTTATTCTGCTCTGTATAGATCTGATGAGTCAAACCATTTTCAACTGGTTTTTATAGTTTGTTCTTATGTTGTGCTGTAACACCACTGTCCCAGGTTAGGGGAAGGTTGAACGCTCACAAACATGTTTAATCCCGTCACATTCTGTATTTGTCTGTCCCTAGTCAGGAGCCTGTAGTTCAGTGGTTGTCGTTGGTTCATGTCTGGCATACTTATTTTTCGTAAATTGTTTTGTTATGAATTAGGCCGTTAGTTTTCTCAATTAAATTGTTTTATATTTTTAGAAATAGATGATTACTAGTATAGTAGTCTAGTGATAGTTTTCCTTGTAAATGACTGTTCTTAATATATTCATTAAAACATCACACGTCTCGAGTCCCTGAAAGAAACCCTTGTAATTACAGCGTGTAAATGGCAGTCCGTGGGTATAAAAGTTTTTAAAAAATGAAGCTGTCAATCGCAGCTCACAACAGCTATTTAGGAACAGAACATTACCAATGCTAATATTTCTCAGCTGTAAAACGCACTTTCACAGACGTGGTTGGTATCTGTGGAATTCTTTCATAAAAGTGAGAGGTTAAGCTAGCTATAAAATCAAGTTAAATCCACTATTTTTTACATAAGGAAATGCCTGTACCAAGTAAGGAATATGACAGTTGTTATTCATTCGTTTAATGTGTTTGAGCTTTTGGTTTTGATATTTGAGTTTGACTTTTTTTTCGTCATTTTACATTTTTTTTTCATTTCCTATTATAGAATTCAGATTCTTTTGGTGACAAAGATTCTTGAATGTAACATTTAACACGGTATTAATGATGATGATTTTATCTTACTATCGCTGAATGCGGTTAACAGACAAATTGCACATGTTTGCTAGATCATATTAATGTTAATCTCGATAAATAGCATTTTTAATCAATAAATCATAAACCAAGTGAACAATAGGCAAAGCAATTTCAAATTCGATTTGTAATTCAGGATTCAGGTAACACTCGAATGTCAATAAATAACTTGGGAAACCGGTGACAATATAGTATGTCCCATTCAACAAGAAATCTCAACTGTTTGGCAAGGGCGATATGTATTTTTAGTTTCCTAAAAAAAAACTTCATATGAATAATAAAAATTTTAAAAAACCAATAATAACATAGGTATTGTATATAATGCTATCATTTTCCTCTTAATACAACAAACGTAGGGAACCACGTATTAAACGAGTTCTGCACAAATATAACGCTGCGAGGTTGTAACATGTTCTTATCAAAGGACTTCAAATAGCTGTTACGATTATATCCCATATAATGAAAGTTTCCAGTTACAGCTTCTGTTGATGGCAAATCAGTATATTTTCTCCTGAATGATCAAATAATATTCAAGAAAAGATAAATTTACAACCAGGCAATTATAAAGCAAATAAGCCTTGTATCTTTGATTATTTAAAAAAAAATAATTTACACTAATTTTATGAAAGTAAACAAACATGCAACATTATTATGTATCATGTATAAACGGTAAATTATGATAAATAAATATAAGAAAAATGCAGGTTATAACTGCTTCCTACCTGAGGTCCTTGCTTTCGGTTGACCAGCTATAATACTAGTAACATATTTTGGACACTGCAGATGTACTGGCATGTCCGAAATACATAAAAGATCACAATAAAACCAACTTATTTACGATTAACTCGTCAGGGATTTTTTTTTCTCGTGACTTTTTGACATAATTGACCACTAGGTATTGGTACTTCACACAATAATGATAAACAAGACACTTAATACATTCAATAAAAATCACTTAAAACTAACCATAGTATACAATTAATACTGGAATTAAATTTACATTCTTAAAACGACAATTGTCAACTTAGACTTAAACGCGCGTCTGGTATACATAACTATCAGCCTAGCTGGTTTGTATCTTTGATTATATTTTTTAAATGCAATCGGAGTCAACTTCGATATTTTTAAAACTACATCTTAAAGTTTTTATCATTTAAGGAGTTTGATATCAGTTATAGCAGACCCAAATTAGTTTCTGATAGATTTATTCACTTTTAACTGTGTTCTCAAAACCCGACCTAGATGAAAGACGGGAAAGTTTTAACTTTCACTGGGAAAATAGTGAATGCTGTATGGGGGAAATTTCCCCATCAAAAGGCCTACACCTATCACAAAGTTTTATAAAGGTTCCTAACGTGCACAGAGCGATGTTGTCTCCCTTCACAAGGTTATGATATTTTACATCCCTTTCACATCTGACGTGCCTGTGTAGTTATGCTTCCCACACGACGTAACAGGCTCAGCATGGATTTAGGTGTCGGACGAGAGAAGTGCATGTGACCATTGCTGAGGGGTGGGAACCTTGTTTTTGTAATTCTAACAAAATGTATCAACGACAAATTGATCACAAATCAATTTACGAAAAATATCACTGACTAGAATAATGTCCAGTCTCTGGTTTCAAAGTTAGAGGTAGTGACAAAAAACCTTACGAAATTGACGAGCATTGAGGACCCAACATTCCGAAAGTCTTTGTCAAATAAAGCTAATATAATATATTCCTTGGGAAGAAAAACCTTAGTAATTCTTAATAATTTCAAGACATATGCCCATTTTTTACACCTTACTGCGTTTCTTGCTTTCGACTGACCAACCATTAAATCAGTAATATATGTTGTACACACGCGGCAGATGTGCTAGCATGATCTATATACATTCAAGATAATAACAATCCAATATATTAACAATAAACTGACATTACAGAGCTTCATTTATCGTGACCTAATGACATAATTAACCACATATATTTTGTACTTAACAAAATAATAATAAAAAATGACACTTTATATATTCTATAATAACGCAAATAACCTATAAATATATAAATAATGAGATATGATACTATGATTGTCAATAAGACACCTATCGACCAGAGATGTGTAAAGTAAAATTGCGAATGGAAACGGGGAATGTGTCAAAGAGACAACAACCCGACCAAAGAGCAGAAAACAGCTCAAAGCCACCAATGGGTCTTCAATAGAGCAAGAAAATCCCGCACACAGAGGCGGGCTTCAGCTGGCCCCTAAACAATAATGTATATTAGTTCAGAGAAAATGGACGTCACACTAAACTCCGAAACATTTAAAATTAATGAGCCAAAATTAAAAAAAAAACATACAAGACTAACAAAGGCTAGAGGTTCCTGACTTGGGACAGGCTCAAAAATGGTTGTCAAGACCTGCTTTGATATTTAAAGAAGACGAGATACCTTTTTGTATTCCTAGGTTGAAATTATTTTATATAGTGTTATGTAATATAGGAACTGACATTGCCATGGCAAAAAACGACAAACAACATGCAGTCTACAAAATACAACACAGAAAACTAAAGACTGAGTAACACGAACCCCATCAAAAACCAGGAGTGACCTTGGGTGCTCTGGATGGGTAAGCAGATCCTGCTACACATGTGGCACCTGTCGTGTTGCTCATGCAAGTAAAAAACCGGGGAAAATTCTTATTCGGTAGGTCTCATTTGAGGAAAAGAGGACGGGATTGTGCTTACAACATATCCGTCGTTATCTGTGAAACAAATTTTCCATCGCATTCTACCAACTCATGGTGGCATCCGTAAATTTCGAAGGGATGATTTCAACTCCAACACTTGGAACTCCTGAATTAAAAGCTGTGTTAATAAAATGGTTGTCGTAATTTGTATAGTATAAAGTGTATAAATGGAGTTTAGGGGATAATGTCATTCAAAAAGTAATTTCAATTATGGATGACATTGATAATGGTCAACAACCATATTTCATAAATGAGAGTACTAAAAGTGTTTAACGATGAATACATAAAATGCCTATTTAGAGCTGACATATTGTATTGCCCAATTCTTTTTTCAATGAAGTATTTTGCAAATTTGTTTTATAAACGTAACTTTCTAATTTGACAAGGAAATAACCCTATGAAAAGGAGCAAATGTTTATATCCTTTGTAAAATATAGATAATCATTTTACACTTATATGCATAAAAATAATGTCTAATAAGGCATGTTCACTAATCACATGCATTTTCAACAAGTAGTCATCTTTTTTTTATTCTAATGAGAGCTGATATTGTGATAAAAAAATAAAGGAGTTTAATAAGTAATATCTTTCTTATAATGATCTTGTCTATGCTATTAAGTCATTTGGTCTTTGGTGGAATGTCGTCTCATTGGCTATCATACCACATCATCTAATATTTATATTGCTTATACTAGAATATGAATTTACATTTGCAAAATGAGAAAAAAATTGACTGGAAAATTTTTCTCTTTATATCTTTCGATTTTTCTTATTATAGTCATAATATTTTTTGAGATACACGCTTTGAAAATAGGCTGACAACATTACTATAGGGATTCCTGGAGAATGGAAAGAGGAGGTCTCATTCCGAATTACCGAGAAGATAAATGCCAAATCCCGAATTCGTGTGAAAATAATGTGTCTGTTCCTGTAATATAAGCAAATCCCGAATTCCTGGCGATTTCATTGGCTGTTCCCGAAATCCCCCCACCAAATAAAGTTCCATCAGCCTCTCTTCCTCGGCAATAATGAAGTTGTATCTACCCTGGAAAATCATAGATTTCGATAAGAAATATGATAATGTAACAATTTAGAAGCAAATCACAAACTGTAATCGGAGAAATACAGAGAAACAATAATAAAAACAAAGAGAACAACAATAACATCCTACACACTTTATAAAAGCAAAGAGAACAACAATAACATCCTACACACTTTATAAAAACAAAGAGAACAACAATAACATCCTACACACTTTATAAAAGCAAAGAGAACAACAATAACATCCTACACACTTTATAAAAGCAAAGAAAACAACAATAACTTCCTACACACTTAATAAAAACAAAGAGAACAACAAAAACATCCTACACACTTTATAAAAGCAAAGAGAACAACAATAACATCCTACACACTTAATAAAAACAAAGAGAACAACAATAACATCGTACACATTTTATAAAAACAAAGAGAACAACGATAACATCCTACATACATTATAAAAACAAAGAGAACAACGATAACATCCTACACACATTATAAAAACAAAGAGAACAACGATAACATCATACACACTTTATCAAAACAAAGAGAACAACAATAACATCCTACACACTTTATCAAAACAAAGAGAACAACAATTAAATCCTACACACTTTATAAAAACAAAGAGAACAACAATAACACCCTACACACATAATAAAAACAAAGAGAACAACAATAACACCCTACACACATTATAAAAACAAAGAGAACAACAATAACACCCTACACACTTTATAAAAACAAAGAGAACAACAATAACATCCTACACACTTTATAAAAACAAAGAGAACAACAATAACACCCTACACACATCATCCTACATACTTTATAAAAACAAAGAGAACAACAATAACACCCTACACACTTTATAAAAACAAAGAGAACAACAATAACATTCTACACACTGTATAAAAACAAAGAGAACAACAATAACATCCTACACACATTATCAAAACAAAGAGAACAACAATAACATCCTACACACATTATCAAAACAAAGAGAACAACAATAACATCCTACACACATTATCAAAACAAAGAGAACAACAATAACATCCTACACACATTATCAAAACAAAGAGAACAACAATAACATCCTACACACATTATCAAAACAAAGAGAACAACAATAACATCCTACACACATTATCAAAACAAAGAGAATAACAATAACATCCTACACACATTATAAAAACAAAGAGAACAACAATAACATCCTACACACTTTATAAAAACAAAGAGAACAACAATAACATCCTACACACTTTATAAAAACAAAGAGAACAACAATAATAGCCTAGACACATTATAAAAACAAAGAGAACAACAATAACATCCTACACACTTTATAAAAACAAAGAGAACAACAATAACATCCTACACACTTTATAAAACAAAGAGAACAACAATAAAAATATAACATCCTACACACTTTATAAAAACAAAGAGAACAACAATAACACCCTACACACATTATAAAAACAAAGAGAACAACAATAACATCCTACACACTTTATAAAAACAAAGAGAACAACAATAACATCCTACACACATTATAAAAACAAAGAGAACAACAATAACATCCTACACACATTATAAAAACAAAGAGAACAACAATAACATCCTACACACTTTATAAAAACAAAGAGAACAACAATAACATCCTACACACTTTATAAAAACAAAGAGAACAACAATAACATCCTACACACTTTATAAAAACAAAGAGAACAACAATAACATCCTACACACATTAAAAAATTAAATAACATACAATCTATTAAACATAGTGAATAAACTCCGTTGTCTCAGACTGATAAGCAGTTTCTTTGATTGGTTGGTTGTTGGTTGCTTAACGTCCAGTTGCAATTATTTGATGGAGGGCGGAATATTTGGACTGCCATTGGAAAAAGATGGAAAATAAGTCAGAATTCATGTGCAACAGGTCAGACACGTGCTTAGAATAGACTTGAATGTGACACGGTCTCAAAAGAGAGGCGAAAGATACCAGAGGGACATTCAAACTCATAAGTCGAAAATAAACGGACAACGCCATGGCTAAAAATGAAAAAGACCAACAGACAAACAGACAAACAATAGTACACAAAATTCAACATAGAAAACTAAAGACTGAGCAACAAGAACCTTCCCCCCCCCCCCAAAAAAAAACAACTGCGGGGTGATCTCAGGTGCTCTGGAAGGGTAAGCAGATCCTGCTCCACATGTGGCACCCGTCGTGTTGCTCATGTTAGCGATATCGGATATTACGTTCCCATTTCTTTCAATCGACTGTTTAGATATTCTATACATCCCTTTTGACTGTAGACGAATCCCCCTCCACAGTCATATCTAAAATCTTTAATGTTTATTTAAATTTTGTGTTTACGTTTACATCATATTACGATTTTTAGATTTTGTTTTCTTTCATTTTATCCTCGACTATTTCATATTTTAGAATAAATTATTTTAATTTTATATGAATATAGAACATAACAAACAAAGCTTTTTACGATTATGGATAGTTATTCCTGTTCAAACCTTATCAAAGTATCAATAAGTCTTATAAATGGCATCTGGCAAGGTTTGGAACGATGATAATCTGGTCAATTGCATTTATTCCTTGTTTTCACTTTGCTATGATCCTAATGATCTTCACAAAGTTAATGAACTTTGCGCTATTCCTTTTCTTTTTTTTAGTTTTGGCCGAGTGTGTCATGGATGAATACCCCATATCCTTTCTTTTCTATTATTTTAAAGGTATTTTCAAACGCGATTTTTTTTTCTTGTATTGTAGGAATTCAGCAGCAAATACTTGAATATTAACAGAATGTTATACGATACGGTAAACTTCTGAATTATCTCCCTTTGTACGATTCCTGAACTAGGACAGGTAATGAACGAAACATGTTGTACGATTCCTGAACTATGACAGGTAATGAACGAAACATGTTGTACGATTCCTGAACTATGACAACAGGTAATGAATGAAACATGTTGTACGATTCCTGAACTAGGACAACAGGTAATGAACGAAACATGTTGTACGATTCCTGAACTAGGACAACAGGTAATGAACGAAACATGTTGTACGATTCCTGAACTAGGACAACAGGTAATGAACGAAACATGTTATACGATTCCTGATTTAGGATAATGAACGAAACATGTTGCAGGACTTAACAAGGTATTTTAAAAAAACTTAACCCTTCCAATTTTATATCGTTCGTGGAAATAGAATAGAGAAATGAAACGGAGAATGTGTCAAAGAGAAAACAACCGACCAAAGAGCAGAAAACAGCCAAAGGCCACCAATGGATCTTCAATGCAGTGAGAGAATCCTGCATCCGTTTGTGGGCTTCAGCTGGCCCTAAACAATAATGTAAACAGTTTATAGAATGCATGAAGTTAGACAATGCACGAGCAAGAACAACATAAATATTAAGCTTTAAGCGATACAAACATTCATTAAAACAGACGCTTTAATGACATAAACTCCACATTTTCTTTCAATAAAACTCGTATATGACAATTTATTTGACCTCCGATACATTTTTATGAATATCATTCGTTAAAAGCAGACACGTGGAGACCCTGTATATTTTATATGAGGTTAGTGGGCGTGTTTTATTTTAATATACGGTTAGTAGCAATTGGTTAAAACTAATATGTCTATTTCTTTTTATGTATTTATGGTTAACAGTTGCCTAGCATTTTGTCACACCGTGGTCTTTTATAACTTACTATTCGGGATGGACTTTGCTCATTTTTGAAGGCCCTGCGATGACCTGTAATTGTTCACATATTTGTACACTTTTTTCTTTACGGATATTTGTCTCACTGGCAATCATAATACATAGCCTATTTTTTATATTACAAGACAATATTGTTGTCTTAAAATTGTGTTTGAAAAAACAACATTGTCATTAAATATATATTTAATCACGATATTATACGAGCATACACAATGATACACGACAATACACGATTATGCACGATGATACACGATAGTATAAAATAATTGGGCAAGTTATTGCAAGGCAAGGAGTCCTCAGAGTAGACGTTCTTATACAATTTCATGTTCGTCTGAAAACTAATGACGTTCTGGGTATCGAAATTGCAAGATGTTTTTAATTGCTTCTGTTGTCAATAAAATATATTTTCGTTCATTGTTTCTACTTGTGAATAACATATTTGCTCTATACATATTATTTTTAAAAATTAATATTTGTATTTTTTCCTATGTCGCCTCCGACTTTTTGAACCCCAAGACCCCTGTCGTATATTTCCTGTATTAGAGAATCCATCTCCATTAAATCTGCCCTGTATCCCGCCGTTTGTTTCAGTAACCTGTCCCACATTAGGATCACCAATGTTAAATCTGCCCTGTATCCCGCCGTTTGTTTCAGTAACCTGTCCCACATTAGGATCACCAACGAATCCAACATTAGTATCTGTACCAAAACCACCATTTACTTCTGTTGGAAAGCCTGTCGAGCCGCCAATCACATTGGAATCAATACCAATGGCTGTCAAAAAAGTTATTGAGACTCATTCTTGATAATCTATTAACATAATTATCTGCAACAAATTAAATTATCAAAAATTGATCATGAAATAAAGTAAACCATACTTTTTTCAAATCATTTCTAATTGTTTTGCCTTGTTTTTTTTTTTGTTTTTTTTTCAATTTCCTTTTTCAGGAATTATTGGTTTTTAGTGATGTGAATCGATATTCAAAACCGAAAATGTACCACCCGATTATTTGACCTAACCTTATATGATCCAACCTTTTCGTGACACGAAATCTTTTACTAAAGATGTATATAAGTTGAAAGATTCTAGCATTAAATGTGTTTGCAATGGTGCTTTAACGTCTCCTGCATTTGCAATTAAGTTGTAATTTAAGTTTGTTTATCTTGGAATGAACGCTTAACTTCTACTAATAGTAATACAACTTGACTTTGAGTTTCTTTTCGAATCCTAATATATATTTTCTTTGTTATAAGCAGTTCCAGCCACAATGAATATGACCATCTGATATGTTGGGAGTTAACATTAAAGAGTTGGTTAACCGCCAAATAACTTTTCTAATGATTTTCTAAATAAAGTCTTTAATAGATTCTTAAATTCATACAAGCTGGGACTATTATACTAGTTACCCAGATACAAGGTATAAATTGTTTATACAAAACTGTGGTTTATTCTGTAATAATTCCACTTTGTTTCCAATCGTAATAGGTGTTTTAGTTGATATAATAATAATAATAATAATAATAATAATAATAATAATAATAATAATAATAATAATAATAATAATAATAATAATAATAATAAGAATAATAATATTTATTCAGGTAAAGGCAACATAAACAAATGCATTTTAGATATGGAAACATAAATAAAATAACCTTAATATGTAGTAATGGTTGCGTTTTAGGTATATTTAATGCCTCAAACCAAGGATGACAAATGAAAGCAAAAAACGTGTATTTCCAATTGATATATTGGGATACCTGTCATTTCGCCGTTGTCAAATATCCCCATACGCTTTCACATTTGATTTCAAAGATGTTCAAATAGCAAAAGTTCTGAATCAGCATTGATAGGTATATCTTTCTAAGTTTTTGTTTTGTATCAATATTTTTGCTTTCCAATTTTTGAAGTATAACTGCATGGTATTTCCATTTGTAAGTACTGTCATTTAGTTTTTGGGATACTTCGACATTCCTTTTCTTGCATCCATATGCATGACTAATAAATATGGGTTGAAGATTTTTTTTTTAAATTAGGTTATATACCTATATATGAAATTAAGTACTGATTAACCTAAAAGCTTATAATTACTTTAGATGTATGTTTCATTATAATACGTTATTCTGATTGGCTAACTGCAATCTGGCGTTATTCCTTAATCAACTTCATTACACAATAAAATTTATCATTCATGATGACACGAGGTCCCACAATAAAATGCACAGGTAAATTAAATAAAAACTTGATAAAAATCGTGTTATCATGACCCTAGCTAAAAAATGTAATTATAAGTATTGAATGCTTCTTTTTGTAACTTCATAGGGTTGTAAAAGCGTTGACAGTGCGCACATTTTTAGAATGAAGCGCTTCCGCGCTTCATACAAAATGTACTTCGGTCAACGGTTTTACACCCCAATGAAGTTACAAAAAGAAGCATTCAATTCTTTAATATTTACTTACCGTTGCCATGTATGCCATTATCAAAACCGTTATCCACAAAACCGTTGTCATGTCCATTATCAAATCTATATTCTGGCTGTAAAACTCCACTAGACGGTGCACCTCCTTCAAAACCAGCAACGCCACGTAAAACTGCATCTCCTACACCAATTCGACGTTGTGTTTTTGATACTGGAGCTCTGATTCCACCTCCTAGGCCCCTTGTTTCTGGTATTGGGTCAGTCACTCTTATACCACGAGAGCCTCTTTCAATGAAATTAGGAGTTTGAGGAATAACTTCTGGTATTACTGGTTGACGCTGTCTCCGGCCTAGGATATTAAAATAATAGAAATGTACTTGTTGATACTGAAAGTGCATTCATTATTTTCTTCTTTTGAAAAATAAGATGTTCGGAAAGAATTTCTTTCACTCGCCAAACATTTTTTTTCAAACTTATAAAAAAAACAGACTAGTTAGTGCCTTCGTTACCCGCACTCTGAAAATGTGTATTGACATTTGTAGACTGGATTTAATTCTTTTTCATTTCACTAACATTTTTTAACTGTTACTATCTAAGTTCTTCTCAAACATATCAATAGAAATAGTTTAATTTTATTTACATTACAGTGCGGTAATTTGCGATATTTTGGTAATATAGCTCTCCCAGTATGAAGTCTTAAATGATAATCGTGAAAATTGTGAACTTTTATAAAAAAGTCTTTAGTGAATTCTTATAACTATACCAACTTACGGTTTTTACGTCTGCGTCTTCTGTTTGTTGATAAAGCGCCGCTCCCTCTACGTGGCTCTATAGCAGGTTCGCACGAGCATTGGCATCCACCTGGGTTACCTAAACTTCCTGTATTAATGAGGGGTTCATTTTGCTCATACGTCCCTGTAAGTATAAGACACTCCTATGAAACTTAAAACTGACTTTCTTTTAATGTTAGTCAACACAAAAAAAAAAACAATTATATAACCATTTATCATTTTGGTCAAATTTTATCAAACAAAGACGAAATTTATGCAAACAAAAAAATATACAAATATTGTCAGTGTTTAAATTTAAATATAGGTACTACGAAATTTTAGATTCAAATATCACATAATTTTACAATTATTCTTAATTACAATTGTACATAATCGTAGATAGAAAATATACTGTAACAACTGTCCACTGAATATAATATTGGAATAAAAAAAATCATCCCCAGGCTGGTGAAAAGCCTAAACATTTGTTTTTTATAAGTTTGTTACACTCACAGTAGTTATTTGTGGCAGTAGCTCCAATAAATAATAGCGTCGTGAATACAAGCAGTTTTTCCATCCTCCAATCCTGAAAAACAATAATATTCTATTTTTTTTTATAAATCTGAAATAAATTACCGAAAGCGCGTTGATTATGAAAAAAGAGGAAATATGTTAACTCATACACGGCTCATAAAAAATGACACTAGATTTAAAACAATTTATGTATATAATATGTATATCCAAGACCTTTGTCCTTTGAGCCTAGATAAAAAAATACTCGCTTTTATTGTCTCGTTTCAGTTTTATACTTAAAATGCAAAAAATACACAACTTCCCCATTAGAATGATTAATACTATTAATTATTTTGACCATTTTGTACTTGCTCTACCTGTTCAATGTGTAGGAGCTTTAGTTTTACTAGAAAAATCTTGTAGTGGTCATTTCATGGATGTAAAAAATAAAGGTACAAAGAAATATACATTTTTTACCAGAGTAGTTTTTGTAGGTGTTCAAAAAAATATTACAATGTCGACAGTTTGTGATCCGAGTTGTCACACATTTTTAGCATATTTGATAACAATGAAAAGTGGGTATATTAATTTTGGTGATAAGACCAAATAAATTGAAGTTACTAAGTTTTCACTGTATAAATGGGACAATTTGTATTTAAGTATTTAGGTTATTTAAAACTTAAAGTTTCCTTGAATTTATTTTAAGCAAAGGGCTATTTTTCAAAAAAATTTAATGCTGTCTGTCATATTTGTTTTTCGTTTATTGTTTTGTAGAATATTTGTGCGTTAATTTTTTTTTCGATTGAAATGTTCTACCTTTTGTCTTGTCAGGGCCATTTATAGCTTTCTGTGCGGTGTGAAGTTTGCTCATTGTTGAAGGCCGTACGGTGACGTATAGTTTCTTACATCCACGTCACATTAGACTGTGGTGGATAGTTGCAATCATACCACATCTTCTTATTTTTATATATGTATCCTTATATTATTCATAGCAGTGTTTCGTTTTAATCAATATGTGTTGTTTTATTGGCTAAGCATTTGACACCAGGTGCTGTCACAAGCTTGTGCTTGTACCACTATCGATACATTGCAAGTATGTAAGTGAATGTATATTGCATAAGTTTTAAGCAACGAGAAAGCAAGTGATCTTGACGTGGCACCATTTTCAAAGCCACGTAACTTGAATTCATAATGCTTTGAACTTGCAAAATATCATTAATTTTATGATCAAAATCACAGTATCTTATACAATATACATTCACTTCATTAGGCTCTGGTGGACAGTTGTTTCATTATTAGTCATACCACATCTCCTTATTTCTATATATATATATGTATCCTTATTATCTAGAGTAGTTTTTCGTTTTATTTAATATGTGTTGTATTATTGGCAAAACATTTGACACCTGGTGCTATCACAACATTTCATATCGTATGAAAACCGATAACATGTTGTTTACGGACGTGCCTGTACCAATCGACACATTGCACGTATTTAAGTGAATGTGTATGGTATAAGTTTAAAGCGATGAGAAAGCAAGTGATCTTGACGTGGCACTATTTTCAAAGCCATATAGATATATGATGTGGTATGAGTGCCAATGAGACAACTCTCCATCCAAGTCAAAATTTATAAAAGTAAACCATTATAGGTCAAAGTACGGTCTTCAACACAGAGCCTTGGCTCACACCAAACAGCAAGCTATAAAGGGCCCCAAAAATTCCTAGTGTAAAACCATTCAAACGGGAAAACCAACGGTCTAATCTATATAAAAAACGAGAAATGAGAAACACTTATGAACCACATCAACAAACGACAACTACTGAACATCAGATTCCTGACTTAGGACAGGTGCAAACAATTGCAGCGGGTTTAAACGTTTCAATGGTACCAAGCCTTCACCCTTATCTGAAACAATAGTGTAACATCACAACATATCACTTGAATATTGCTTAATTTGTACAATAAACACAGATAAAAACTTAAGAGTCATTCAGCGGCAAACGCTAAGTCTAAAAGACAACCAACACCATTATGGTAAAAAAAAAAGACAAACACATATACAACAGTCCACAAGCACTTCACAAAAAACTACAGATTGGCAACATGAACCCCCCGAATACCGTGTTTACGGGTTTTGCTCGTTTTTGAAAGCCGTACGTAAATCGATTGTTACTTACATTCACGTTATTGGCAATCATTCCACATTTTATTTTATATTGAACTCGGATGATACGGAGCAGTCAGCATAAGTGACACCATAAGTGGGTTTTGCTCGTTTTTGAAAGCCGTACGTTGGTCGATTGTTACTAACATTCACGTTATTGGCAATCATTCCACATTTTATTTTATATTGAACTCGGATGATACGGAGCAGTCAGCATAAGTGACACCATAAGCGGGAAATATGACGTGTATATAGAATATACCATAAGTTGGTGGAAATGTTCCGTTTTGGGTGCTTTTTAAACCGAAGAGTATAATTTTCAGTTAGTTCGATATGCCCGTGTTTACATTGACCTATCAGATTGAAATGACCGCAATATTTTCATTACTTAAACCTTTTTAGAGTTTATAGATATCAATTGAATTGTGGATTTTTTTTTTAAATAATAACAAATATAGAGATTTATCATAGAAGTATGATACCCATTCAAGGAATTTAATAAAAAGTAATAATTCATATCCAGCTTTTTATAGTAATATTATTCGGCACTAAGACCAATACCTGGTCTGGACTTGCGCCGCTGAATGTAATTGATTATGGTGTCATGCATACTTAAGCATAGATTATCATTCCACTCCATGGAAGACTAATACTGGGTATGGACTTGCGCCGCTGAATGTAATTGATTGAGGTAACATGCATACTTCAGCATAGATTATCATTCCACTCCATGGAAGCCAAGAAAAGATTGAAGAAATGCTTTGTTGTACAATGAGTGTTGTTAAGTATAAAACTATCGACAACCATGAATTGACTGCACGGTATGTGTAAACATAAAACTATCGACAACCATGAATTGACTGCACGGTATGTGTAAACATAAAACTATCGACAACCAAGAATTGACTGCACGGTATGTGTAAACATAAAACTATCGACAACCAAGAATTGACTGCACGGTATGTGTAAAAATGGCTGACACGCTACAACTGAACATTATCAAGCTGCAGAACAAATATAAAATCTTTCCCTTCCATCATAGCCAAGAAAAGTGTGACAAAAGTTTTCTACCAATGGTTTTTCGAACGGACGGAGTGGGGCGATTACTTGACCTGCTTTCGCCCTTGGCGACGCAGGTAAAACCATATCTGTTTTTTTTTACCTTTAGATGTGTCTTTTTGGCTTCATAGACTGATTACGGTTATAATTATTCTTCTGTAATTCAATCAATGCGTCTAATATAATTTAGGGATGAATCAATTCGCTTTATAGTCTAACGCAAGATAAAAATGTCCGTTTGCATTGGAATTCTGCACAGGTTTGTTATGGGCCTTGCTCAATATCATGTGTTAATGAACTGTTTATACCGTTGAATCTTATGTACAGTACAGCCGCGGATATTAGAGTATATATTGGATGATTTTGTATTATCAGTTACTAGGAACACTGAACTTGTCTCTGAAACTCCGAATATTCTTTGATACGATAAATTTTTTGTTTGTACAAGTGTTTTTGTGTATTATATTACTTGTATAGTGATAAGTGATCTACTGCATCGCTATTTGTATTGTTCATTCTTTGTATGCCTTTTTTTGGTCAACTGATCAATATAAAGGGGATAGAATTGAGATCTAAATAATCCGCCTTTTTTTCGTATTTCTGTTTGAAGTCCAGAATATCGTCAATAATTGTATGATGCCATGACTTAGTGTTTATACTATTTGTAGAATTTGATTTTAATTTATACTTTTCAGACTCAGGGCGATTTAGCACACGACATATTGTAGAAGACTAAATGATGATGTCTTAATATTTTTGTCTTTTGTTGCATAATTATTTCCTTTTCGACACGTGATTTGTATTAATCCCTTGGTATCTTTTTTCCGCATTTTGAGAATAAAATATCGAACAATGATCGGGATTCAATTTGACATGTTTCTTGTATTACAATTGGCCTTATTTGCAGAACCAATAACTCATCTGATCAAAACAAGGGCTTCCTTGTCCGTGGACAAATTCCTCTTCCGTTTTACCAATATTGTTTTCATATTATTTACTTAACCACAAATGAAATTTGAAAATAACTGTTTGTTTATAAATAACGAGTGTGTCATCGGCATTATCATATACTAAGTCGGTTAAGAGGTCTACAGAGCTCATGTTTACCTTGTTGAATTGTACAAATCATGCCCGACTCTAAATAAAATTTACTTACTTACTTACTTACTTTACCAATTTACTAGAGGTAAATTTCCTGATAATGGATGGTACGTACCCTCCAGTTATGTATGTTTCGGCATTGCAAATTTTACCAACGATAAATTGGGTAAATTTTAATGAAGTATCATCTGATGAATTTAAGAAATTTTACAGAATGTTAGGTTTTAATTCCTTTAGGGAGCTACATTGTACCATTTGATTTTTTATGGGGGGCTAGGATGAAAAATTTTGTCCCGCATTTTTTTTTAGTTGTAAACTCTGTCCTGCCTTTTTATTTTCACTCTATTCGGTCCTGCCTTTTTTTTTATTAGTTTATCCTGACTTTTTTTACATAAATTGTCATCCTGCCTTTTTTTTTTTGCGAAGTTGTTCATCCTGCCTTTTTTTGAATTTAAAACTCATGTCCTGCCTTTTTTTCAAATTTCATCTTAGCCCCCCCCCCCCCCCCCCCCTAAAAATCAAATGGTAGCTCCCTTAGTCAAAGTTGACAGTTTTGACTATTCCATTTAGGTTAGGCCCTTTTAGATATTAAATTCTACATTTGTTTCTTTCACTGTTACATTTGTTTTCAAAAATGTTGACGCAATATTTTCCTGGTGCAGATAAATTGTTGGTACGAATTCAAATTAAAAAGCCTAAATATATGAAGTTCACGCAGTATCATGGCCAACCAAATTATACCACACATAATATAGAAGTAAGAAGCTGTGGTAGGATTGTCAATGAGACAACTCTCCATCAGAGCCCAAATGGCGTAGAAGTTGGACACTCTGGGTCACCATATCTTCTTAAACATTGAGCAAATCCATTACTGCATAGGAAATTATCAAAGGCTCTAAATGAAAAAGGTAAAACAATTAACGAAAAATAAATATGATATACAGCTAGGAACGACAACCACTGAATTACAGGCTCCTGACTTGGGACTGGCACATAGAGAGTGTGGGGTAAAACATGTTTGCGGGCACCCAACCCTCCTTCTTACCTGGGACAGTCGTGTAAAAGCACAACATAAGAACAAACTATAAAAAATCACTTAAAAAGGGATTAACTCAACAGATCTTCACAAAATACAAAAAACAACTAATAAAAACACTAAAGACACAAAGTACAGCTCAAAGCCAATAAAAAATCATGAATATAAAACTGAAATATCAACCAATACACATTCAATATCTAATGAATTAAGTGCAATGATGTTATTAACAGTCAGAGAAAAACATGATCTAGAGCAATGCCAAAATAGGTGTCGACAGAATGTAGGACCATGAATGTTGTACAGGTGTATAGCAATGATATTTAGTTTGGTATAACAAAATCAATATGTATGCAAATAAAAACAACATTCAAAGATCTAATTACAGTGTTATATTTTTACCTTGTAAGTTTATATGGAGGATCGATAAGTTTACCCGGATCGTATCCTAATTTTTGAGCTCGATAAACAACATCACCGAAAAATTAAGGTGTGCTATCCCGTTTGCAATAAGTTTTCTACAGGTACAGCCAAACTTTCAAACCAAATCTTTGTATATATGAAAAAAATGAGTAAAGGTTTTAAAAGCAATTTATGGTAACGAAATCCTTGACTTGATAATTTCCAGTAATACATAGATTACGTTACACGGCCATAGTGATGAGATGGATATATAAACACCGTAAGATGAGGCCAAAGACACTTTCCCACCATCCAAAAAAAGAAAAAATATCACCAGAGAACGAAAATCGTGCCTTTTGTCGTAAAGTTTGTGTAGAGTTTCCCGTGAAAAAAAATGAAATATCTTAATCTAGGAAAGGACAATTTTATTGAATAGGAAAACTTTCGTTTGACAAGATTTTGTGGAAGTGAAGTGTAGAGAGTCTAAAAGTCAACACTCAACCGAATCATAAACATTTTTTAAACTCCAAAAATAGTTAATTCCACTATTTTCATTTCCCATTTTTATTACCAAAGGTGATGATAGTAGTTAAGGGACTAGTTAAAAGCACTGAACGATTAGTTTTAGAACATTTACAAGAGGCCAAGATGAAACGATATTATACGCAATATTTATACATCATGAAGTCGCACATACATGTACATTTTGGCATATTTTAGAAAGGAAAAATATTAAGCAATGTAAATTTTCTCCTTTATACTCGTATGCTATTATCAAGAAGTTGAATTGTTCCAGTTTGTTTTGTTTTGTTTTTTAAATGGCGAAATAAAATGCAACTACCACTGAGTGTTCCTTTGTTCTTGTGATGTAGGTGTCGGTATACTGGAAGATTTGAAATCAAATTGAGAATTTTGATTTACTTCTGTTGGTTATATTCTTACAAAACAACAAGTCAAGTCAATTGTCATCCATGACACACAAACATTCAAAATAATAAGATCGAACTGTATGCCATAAAAAATGTCTAGTGGGAATAAGTAAAACCAGTTTAATACATTTATTAAAAACTTATCAGTTTCGAGATCTAACAAGTTGTAAACCGGATTGAAGACAGATAACCTCCCATAGATTCTCACAAATCAGTCAGTTTATTGCATGAAGTCACACTTTGACATACGTAAATATGACATGTCAAATCTCATAATGACCAATATGACCTCTTTGTCCAGTCAATATGTCCACAGGTCATAAAATCCATTAGTATGACTCTGTAATGAAGAAAGTAGGTTGTTAGACTAATTATGCCAATACATTAAACGAATTCGGTCGTACGTGTAGCGTAATGCATGTAATATATAAAATAATTTAGCTAACAGGTTTATAATGCATTTAGTACCACTGCTGTTACAGGTTAATTACACAAACATTACCATTATCCAATTGTATCAATTAAAAAGAGCCAGGATGACCTTTGAGCCTTGAAAATATTTAAATAAAAAAGGACTTCGTTTATACATTTTATCCGGAATATATCAGTTTAAAATTTATGATTTATTTCATTATTTATTTAAAGAATCGTAGTATTTACGTTCTAGGTAATGTTGTGTGATTAAAATATTATTTTATAGAGTGAAATTATGTGATAAGAATAAATAGCTAACAGATAACAATATACTGAGATCACAGATATATACTTAACACATATTCAAATTTAAATAGTTTGATGAAGAGAAAAAAACACATTGACGGGAATAAAAAACAAAATACCACAAAACAATAACATAAAACACAAATGATAATTAATGAGGGGGTCGACACGGGGTTGGCCATTTAACAAAACCGGCTTTTTTTTGTAATTTTTTGACACCTCCCAATTTTTTTCCCTTTCGGATGATTTTTCCTAGATCTCACTTTTTTCATCCCCTATATCCCACATCCCTATTTTCCTTACCCCCTTTACCCTTTATCCCCACTTTTTTCATCCCCTATATCCCACATCCCTATTTTCCTTACCCCCTTTACCCTTTATCCCCACTTTTTTCATCCCCTATATCCCACATCCCTATTTTCCTTACCCCCTATACCCTTAATCCCCACTTTTTTACCCCTATATCCCACATACTAAAAAGGTGTCATCCCCCTCAATTGATCATGTATAGAAAAAGTTCGATATGGAAGATTGTTTACGTGTCATCGCGCATGTCATATAGCTCTTTTTTTAAATTGGTATATTTTGGTGGTGTTTTTTTTTTTGCGACAGGTTCTAAGGATAAAGAATCTCTTTGATAAAGATATCCCCAATTCCTATGTAATAAGAAATGGTTTTGACGGTCCTAAGGGCAATATAGATAAAAACGAGTTTCATTCGAGGGAAAATTATAAATAAAATTATAAAAGCGTTGTTATCGGAGAGTATCGTTTAAGCAACTTGTCAGTATAGTCAAACCGTGTTCACTGATGTTTCATTTTGTCAAAATGGACTTAAGCATATACATGATATAGTGAAACACTATGTCGGTTTCACGTAAGATGGTTAAGAGGTTATAAGAACGTTGATTGTCAATACTTCTACGGTGCTTTCAAAAGTATACAAAATTACGGTCTCGGGATGGAATAATAATTTAGTAAGATTCTCGCCGGACAGTGCATAATGTTCTCAATATATTTGTAAATTATTCGCATTTGGTGTATGATAGTATGCTGATGTCTGCTGATATTTAATCTAAGTACTTACTTCTGTAACTATTCTTATAGTTAGCATAGTGGTTAATATTTTTACTGTTAGGATATACTCCATATCCGTAATAGCGACCTTGGTTGCCACCGATACTACCAATACCACCAACTGATCCAAAACCTCCACCGACAAATCGTCCTGCTACACCACCAATACCACCCAGACCATTAAATCCACCGCCGAATCCACCTCCGCTGCCAGAACTACCGCTAGATCCTGCTGAAATATTGATGATAAATTTATCTTATACTCTTGTCAAATAAGATTTTTTTTTAAAAATAGGCCATTAAAAAATATATTGAATAGGGACAAATTTTTTTGATGGAGGGGGAAATAGTAATAAAGAAAGGGAAAACATATGCATGTTTCTAAGCAACTGTTCTGTATCAATTATGTTGTCCCGTGTTTTTTAAGGATTTTCACCTCCACTATGAAAATCTTCCCCTATTCAATATGGCTGAAATAACCGTGAAAGGGCCTATCAAAAGACTTGATATTGAATTCCTGAGATATAAGACATTTTTTTAAATGATAGATTACCTCAGTACACAGTTATAATTTGTTCGCCTATCTTTGGTGTTTTTTCTCAATGTATCTGTACCAAGCAAAATCAGTTGTAGTATCAAAATTGTTTTATTAAAGACATATTAAAAAGGAAGTTGTTCAACGTATACTTACCACTTTCGTCATCATCGAAATCAAAATCATCACTTTCTCCACCACCGGAACCGGAACCGCCACGTCCACCACTTCCTCCGCCAGAACCTCGGAAGCGACCCCTAAAACCAGATCCACCACCAAAGTTTCCGCTTCCAAATCCGCCTCCATTGGCATAACTGTTACCGCTTCTATAACCATATGACCCATATTGTGGATACTGTGTACCATATCCAGCATATCCACCGTATAGTGGTCTACTGTTAAATACTGGTGCACTTCCAAAATTGTCTTCATCGTAATCCGGTCGATATTTATGTACATGCGTTACATGTATATTCTGGTGTGGTTTTCTGTGGTAGTAAGTAGATTTTGACTGCGATGAATGTCCACCCCTGTTTATAGCAGGTCCCAGACTACCTGTAATTGATCCCGTTGAAGTCGGCCCAGCTTTATTTACAGACGCCCCAAGTATTCCACCATTTCTATTTATAGACGCCCCACGTATTCCACCATTAAAGTCATCTTGAAAATCCCCATTGAAATCGTCTTGTATATCTCTATCAAAGTCATCTCTATCATTATCAAACGATGGTTGTATTCCAATAGATGATCCACCAATAGATCCCCGTCTTGGAGATATTTTTCTTGCTATACCAGAAGGTCGACCTGCAGAACTGAAACCTAGAATACCATTATCGTCGTCAAAGTCATCTCTATCATTACCAAACGATGGTTGTATTCCAATAGATGATCTACCAATGGATCCCAGTCTTGGAGATATTTTTCTTGCTATACCAGAAGGTCGACCTGCAGAACTGAAACCTAGAATACCATTATCGTCGTCAAAGTCATCTCCGTTGTCGTCAAAAGATGTTCTCACAGGTGATGGTGCCACACCAGCACTACCAGTGGTTCGAACAGAGGCTAGTTTCCTGTGATACGTTTTCTTGGCTATTGGCCGTATGGAAGCTCTACTGCCTCCGCTTCTAACAACAGCAGGCCCAAGAACTCCTCTATTTATTTCATCTTCGTCGTTATCAAAAGATCTTCCAATATTGATCGGTGACGGCACATTGTTTATTAAAGGTCTAATAGCAGATTTTCTTTGATGATTCTTAATTGTTGGTCGTACAGATCGACTTCCGGTTTGTGCCCTAGCAACAGAAGGACCAAGAACACCAATGTTGATATCATCAAAATCGTCGTCGTCATTGAGAGACCTTATTCCAAAATTGTTTCCAATATTGCCTCTTGGTCTAATAATTGATGAACTTTTCGAATAATATCTAGACCTCCCTGATGGCCTTATCGACGTACCTAAGGATCCAGTCGTTAACATTCCACTACCATAGTTGATGCCATTGGAGCCATAACCTCGACTTCCGCTATAACTGTTACCATAGGAACCGTATCCTTTATTTTGACTATACCCAGTATTATATGAGAGTCCGGTGGATCCAACTGAAAAAAATAATCAATCAAAAGTTTCATTACATGTTATAAAAATGTAACATGAAAAAAAATATTTATGAGGGTCTGGATGGGGAATCCTTCATTTATTTATTCTTTATTTTTTGTGCCCATTTTTCTCTATTCTTTCTAATTTAGCATTCTTTATTGTAGTAAAGTTTGGTCTCCTTATAGGATTAAAGATATTACAAATCTAGAGTCAAAATATTGGTCAATGGCTACCATTAAAATTCAGATTAAATTTACAAAAACTTTAATTGGAGTAAATAAAACAGCTGTCAATTTAGCAGTACTAGCTGAACATGGTATGTATCCAGTTTTTATAGAAGCTTTATAACAGTCAATTGGCTTCTGGTTGCATGTGATAAAATCTGGTAATAATTGTTTACTTAAAGATGTATATAGTTCAAACCTGCCAATGGATTTGCAAGACAGATTGAACAGTTACTTGCTACATTAATTTTTTCACATGTGTTGGAAAATTAGGATACTATTTCAAAAAGGCTTTTATTGTACGCACTTCATAACAAACTTAATGATAGATACCTGAATTATTGGAAAGAAAATATGTTTTGCGATGATAAATCATTGAACGGTAATAAGCTCAGAACATACAGACAGCTTAAAGAAAATTACAAATTGAAAACCTATTTAATGTTAAGCATTGAAAAAAAAGTAATAGGACATTTTGCCAAAATCAAGAAAGTAATAGTGTTCTTAAAATTGAACAAGGTCAACATACTAAAACTCCTTTAGAAGAAAGAATGTGTCCCTTGTGTCTTTTACAAGTAGAAGTAGAAGATGAATTTCATTTCACTATAAAATGTGCAAAATGAAATACATGTACAATTAGAGAACAATCATTTTCTAAAATAAGTGAAATAGTTCCCTCTTTTTTAAATATGAATAATGAAGCAAGATTTAAATTTTTGTATACGTGTGGTGAGAATGATATAATAAGAATTATTCTAGAAACCTCCTCAGCAGAGATTAGATATATATAATAATGTAACCATATTTTCTTGTTAATAATGTAGGGGATATACAAATTTATATATACAATGTTTATAAATGTGGACAGATATATGATTGCATGTTTATGTATAGCCAATGTTTACTGTCTTTGGTAACAATCCTATAATTTTGGATTTTAAACCAATAAAATATCTTATATTATCCCATTATTCTCTTCTCTTTACTTTTATTGCCTATTTTTCTCTATTCTTTTTTTTTACTTTGCTTATTATTCCCTATTCTGTAAACCCCTCCATACCCTCATATCATATGTCCATGCTTCCCTTACAATCATTTGGCAACACATCATTCTACTTCCTGTTCTAGTAACTATTAAATCAGCCAATGATGTTCAGCTTTCAAAAATATTAAGACGTGTATTATCACGACAAAACCAAAGGATCCCGAAAAGTCGTTAAAAGTAGAACGGAGTGTAAGTAAAGAGTGGATTCAGGATCTGTATTTAAATCAGATTGTGAACAGTAAATCTTAAGACACTTACGGCTTCCTCGAAATCCTGACGATCCTCCTCGATTTCCTCGAAATCCTGATGATACACCTCGACTTCCCCTGTTGTAACTGCGATAAGTTGGATATCTCATAAAACTTTGGCTACCACCACGCAGTAAACCAGTTGGTTGATATCCGTTGTATGAATAGTCATCATCCCAGTCACCAAAGTTCCCTAACAAATGATAAAACAAATTACTTTTCATATATATAATGTTTAAGCTAATTTTGCAATGGTAAATAGAAAAATGTTTTGTCATTTAAAATTTATGATTGGAAAGGTTTAATACACATGTCTTATTGGTTTATTTTTATATTCATTTATTTGGCCTTTTAATTTATTTTCTTTCTTCGTTTTTTTTTCTTTTTTGCAAGGATAAAAATGTCACTGTTTCGATCTTATAACTGTGGGACTAGGAAAGATGTATGACTGGTTTCACCTGAATTTGTTCACTCATAAGGTCAAGATTTGAAGTTCGAAGATCATCAGTGAGATTTGAACATTAAAGAGTCAAAATGATATACAATAAGGTACATTTCTTTTGTACATTTTGACATTCATAAAAATAAAATTTGCAAGGGCTATACGTACATTCAGGTATAAATTCATTTTGATTCAGTATTGTGAATTGTATATTTTTACATCGAACTACATCCGAATCAAAGTGAATTAATTTAGGCATGTACGACACGACTTAGTTTTACTTTAAATAAACATTTTATTTTAGTTTGGCATGTCCTTCTCATTAATTATCAAAACAGGAAACAAGTTAAACTTCTCCGTCTCTTATAGAAAGTTGTCTCATTGTCAACCATACATATACGTTATTTTGAAAAAAAATAATAACTTTGATATAAATAAAAATAAGGAGATGTGGTATTATTGCCAATTGCGATAATTACCCACCAAAGTTCAAATGAAGTTGATGTAAGCAATTATATGCAACAGTTCGGTCTTCAACAATGAGAAAAACCCATACCGTATAGTCGGCTATAAAAGGCCCCGACATAAAAAATGTGAAAAAAATCAAAAAAGAAAACTAACGGCGTAATGTATAACAATACAATTTACGAAGAACAAATATGACAGACATGAACCAACGACAACCACCTACAGGCTCCTTACTTGGGATAGGCACATACAGAATGTGGCGGGGTTAAACGTGTTTGTATTTAGTTCATACTTACAAATGTCGTCTGCTAGAGACAATCCTAGAACACTGAGTAACAATTGCAGGGACAGATGCATACTGGATTTCTGTTAGAAGAAGAATATATATGTACATGAAGACATAATCAGTTCACATACCCCTTTGATATTTGTAAAGCAAAATATCAACAAGAAGATGATTGCACTCTTAGTTACTTGCCCTGGCGGTAAGATTTAACGAGATTCATTTTTAATTTTCCCTCCCCGTGAAATTAAACTCAATATTACATGTTTCAAGAATTACAGAAAGCCTAACGATGTTTGTAATAAACATGGAAATGAAAGTATCGATGAAAATATTTTCGTTTTTTTTTGCATTGTGTAATCAATAAATTTTGTTTTCAAAGTTTGCGACAAGGATATCCGATGTATCAACAGTTATTTTATAAGCTACCGATAATTTTGAATTATTCGAAAAAAAATATGTCATCTTTTTATTGACAAAGTTTGCTTTTTGTGTTATCGAACAGTAAAGATTTTTTTATGTTTCTTAGAATTATTTTATCAGTAAATTTACTACTTTTGTTATTTCTCAATAAGTCAGGGTTACTTGATTACTGGCATTTACTATAAAAATTTACTCAATACTTATCTTTGGTATATATTAGTAATTTTGTTTAAATAAAATTAACTTTCGTTAAATATTCAAGATAAGCTATCTTCATATATTTCCAAACAAATTGTACAAATTTATGTGACTTTTTTACCATCAAAAAGTAGAATAAATATCTGTAAATAAATGCTTCTCAATTAATAATCTGTATAGAAAAAAATCCGTCTTACCTATCCAACCGAACCCTTATGTTCAGGACGAAAATGTACTTCATGAAAACATTTGTTTTCTATATATAACCCCTAAAAAGCATACTACTTAAGACTAATTACAAGTTTTCTACCCTAGACATAAATAATTAATAATGCAGAAATTGACAAGAAAACATAGCTTGTAAATATTTTGCTACAAGTTTTGGATGTAAAAATGACCAGAGGTGTTGTAAGTCTTTGTTTACAAATAATTATATATTGTTCTTTTCATGTAAACATGATTATATGCTATCTATGGCATGCGCTATCAGACTTCAATACACTGCAATAAAAACAACTGTTTACATGTAACAAAACAATTAAGAAGATGCATAATTTAAGAACTTTGTAATACTATGTTAAAAAGCATTTTACTGTACGGTCAAAGGTTAAAAGGCATGCGAATTTGCATTAGTGTCCCTTTCAATGACCGCCAGGCACGCGATCGTCAATTACACGAACGTCTTGAAAACATAAAATTGTATTCCAATCATTGAATGGTATGTAAAGTGTTTTTCTAGTAATTGAGAAAGAATATTGAAATGTCAACAAATCCATTTAGTGCCTAAAATTCTTTTAGGTAACAGTTTGCAGAAATACGTCTTAACCAAGCAAAGGAAAATCATACTCTAGTCAGTGTTTTACTTTTGATTTTAAAATTGAGGGATAAGCGGAGAGGCGGCAAATACCATGTCTGAGGCATAACTGACCAGGGATCGAACATTTTAAGAGAGAACACAATCCACGGAGGCTGTTCAGATAAAAGGAATTAAAATATTTTGAGTTAGTAATAACATCTTATGATATGTTTTATAGATAATCGTTATTATATATGATATATTATATAAAACCATGTGGGATGATGCAAGTCACTTCATATATTTGGTTTTCAAGAGTTTCGATTTCTCTAATCTATAGAAGTGTAATCAAAAATTCAAACAACACATTATTTGCGCTTGCGCATACGTAAATCAGCATCATATGTTTGAATAAAAGACGATGTGTTGTAAACCTTTAATAAGACAACAATCCAGCGATAAAATTAACCAAAAATACATGTTAAGGGTAACATACAGTCGATTTTCATTTGGATTCTGGTGGATAGTTGTCTGATCGGCAATAGTTATGACATATACCACAACTTCTTATATTCAATAATAAACAGGTGTTTAAACAAATCATAAAGTTCCTAATTATCCCTACCCTACAAAAATTGAGAAGAAATGTAACACTCAATGATCTGCCAGCAACACCAGTTCTTTTTAAATGTAAAGAAAAAAAAACAATAAATTTATGACATAAGACAAACACTGCATAGAGTCTCTGATTTATTAAATAAGGAGATGATATAGTGAGGTTTATTACTTGCATACTTTCTGATGAGCTGATGCTCGCGTCTGCTTCTATCTCATAAGTGTGTGCTTGCGTCTGCTTCTATCTCATAAGTGTGTGCTCGCGTCTGCTTCTATCTCATAAGTGTGTGCTCGCTTTTGCTTCTATCTCATTTAAGTGTGTGCTTGCGTCTGCTTATATCTCACAAGTGTGCGCTCGCGTCTGCTTCTATCTTATATAGAGTGTGCTTGCATCTGCTTCTATTTCATAAATGTATGCCTGCGTCTGCTTCTATCTCATTGGTGTTCAATTCATTATAATTTTGTAACCACAGTCACACTCTTATGTTTTTCAACATCAGGAAATTGGTTAATTGCAAACATGTCAAGAATTCGTTACTGTATTCTTTGATGTGAATACATGTAAATAATCAAAACTTAAAAATTGATTACTTTTGTTACATCATGATGTTTATGAAAACAATACCCGTTTTCGAGATTTTCTGTGAATGTACAAATGATATGTTTTTATTATATTTTTTCTGGAATGGCTATTACCACGGAAATTTTGACAGGAAATGATGATTTTTATTAATATGTTCGCAACGGCAAATTAACGAAGAAACTTTCGACACATCAAAGTTGTAATGACATTGCCGGATTTACAGTCGATGTGTTTTTCTTGTTCTCCGTCAATGAAAACTTACAATTACGTTAGAAAAGCTATCGTGTTGGTCGGTACACTTGGTCAAAATAAAGAGTGAAAAATTCTTCATCCAAGGTGCAATGAATATGGAGTTTTATAATTCAGGGAGTATCAAATATAGTCTAGTTTTTGTGCGTTCAAGCTTAACATCAGTTGGTTAAAAGTTATGTATAAGCGACTATTTAGAACTTGTTTTTTCCCTTAAAACTGAAATAGCGTCTGTCATTTTATCTTTCTTTGTTCTGAATTCTATGCAGTTTTTGAAAGCTACATTTATATAGTATTTTTATGATTTTTAAAACAAATCGTTGTTAGCCTTTGTATCATATTTCCTCTAGTGTGTCCTATCGGAGGTGATAAAAACCATAACCGTAAAAACAACATAGACATTAAAATACAAAACAATTGCTTGATCAACATAAACCCAAACAAACACGTGGACATCAGATACTCTAGAATAGTATAAAACAAACACGTGGACATCAGATACTCTAGAATAGTATGAAACAAACACGTGGACATCAGATACTCTAGAATAGTATGAAACAAACACGTGGACATCAGATACTCTAGAATAGTATGAAACAAACACGTGGACATCAGATACTCTAGAATAGTATGAAACAAACACGTGGACATCAGATACTCTAGAATAGTATGAAACAAACACGTGGACATCAGATACTCTAGAATAGTATGAAACAAACACGTGGACATCAGATACTCTAGAATAGTATGAAACAAACACGTGGACATCAGATACTCTAGAATAGTATGAAACAAACACGTGGACATCAGATACTCTAGAATAGTATAAAACAAACACGTGGACATCAGATACTCTAGAATAGTATGAAACAAACACGTGGACATCAGATACTCTAGAATAGTATGAAACAAACACGTGGACATCAGATACTCTAGAATAGTATGAAACAAACACGTGGACATCAGATACTCTAGAATAGTATGAAACAAACACGTGGACATCAGATACTCTAGAATAGTATGAAACAAACACGTGGACATCAGATACTCTAGAATAGTACGAAACAAACACGTGGACATCAGATACTCTAGAATAGTATGAAACAAACACGTGGACATCAGATACTCTAGAATAGTATGAAACAAACACGTGGACATCAGATACTCTAGAATAGTACGAAACAAACACGTGGACATCAGATACTCTAGAATAGTATAAAACAAACTCATCAAAGATACCAGGTTTATGATTTTGTGCACTAGACACACGTTTTTTTTTTTTTTTTTCAAATGATTATAACTTGAAAACAGTTAGTGATAGACACAATCTTTATAATTGAAAATGTTCTGCCATTTGAGAAAGTTTTAATATCTTGTAAGTGGTTAAGATCCCCACCCCAAAACCATATATATTCTGGTTTGTCATGATAAAGCACATCAAATGAAATACAGGATTAATCCCCAGGGGTCACCCCACCCCCTGCCATTTGAGAAAGTTTTAATATCTTCTAAGTGGTCAAAATCCCCACCCCTAAACCATATATATTCTGGTTTGTCATGATAAGGCACATCAAATGAAATACTGGGTTAGTCCCCAGGGGTCACTCCCACCCCTAAACCATATATATTCTGGTTTGTCATGCCAAGATGATTTGTATAATAAACAGGGTTAGTTCCCAGGAGTCATCCTGACCCCCTGCCATTTGAGAAAGTTCTAATATCTTGTAAGTGGTCCGGATCCCCACCCCTTAACCATATATTTGCTGGTTTGTCATGCCAAGATGATTTAAATTATATACATGGTAGGGCCCAAAGGGTCATCCCCACCCCCTGTCATTTAAATATATTCAAATATCTTGTTAATTGTCGAAATCCCAACCCCTAAACCATTTATATTCTTGTTTGTCATGTCATGAAGATTTGAATGATATATAGGGTCAGTCTTAAGGGGTTCCTCCCACCCCCAATGTTCTAATATCTTGTAAATGGTCGAGATCCCCACCCCTAAACCATATAAACCTGTTCGTCATTTCACGAAGATTTAAATGGCATACAGGATCAGTCCCTAGGCGTCACTAATGCATATAACTTTACTGGACCAAACGAATTTTTACTGGACTTTGCCCAATGTCAGGCGACCATGGGAATGACGAATTATGGGAGCTTCATTTGGGAGAATTCGTAACAGCATCCTGTTACAATCATTTCTTGTTTTGTACTTGCTTTGGCCGTCCAACATTTTTGTTTTGAGCACCACTGGCGAGTCTTGTATAGATGAAACGCGAGTAGGGCGTAAATTCAAAGCCTGATATCTTTAATGAGAATATACCGATCTATCATTTTTCACTTTTCTTAATCAAAGTCGTAGGTCAGCTTGTAGCATAAAATGGTTTTTAAGCTGAAATTTAACTGACTGTAGACCTAGAATTGGCTATACACAGCAGCTTTCATTAACAATTGTTGATAGACGATTTGGCCTCTTTTTGAAAAAGAATAGGATTAACGATTTCTGACGCCCAAAATTAATTACAGTAACGAGGCAAAACGAAGATCCACCTGTATAATTCACGATTGTTTTCTATCTTTTGCAAAACAAGTTTGTTTTAGGAACCTTTTATCTATTTCAAATACTATTATTAATTATATTAATGACTTTTTATATAGGTAATTCATATATTTGATGATTGTTGCTTGAATTACACAAACATTGTTGCTGTGTATCATATTTGTTTTTCGTTCATTGTTTTGTATATAATTCAGTTCGTTAGTTTTCTCGTTTGAATTGTTTAACATTTGTCATTTTAGGGCTTTTTATAGCTGACTATGCGGCATGGGTTTTGCTCATTGTTGAAGATCACACGGTGACATATCGTTATTAATTTCTGCGTCATTTGGTCTCTGGTTGAGAGTTGTCTTAATTTTTTTCTGAATACACCTTTATACTCAACTTCGACACATAATACATTGCATATTTTGTAGGTGAAAAGAAA